TTCTTCTAAATGTTATATAACTTGTTGGTAAAACTTCCATTTTTTGAGTTTGAAAAAAGGAACAAACATGTCCGACAAAACCACTAAATTCCCCACAACAAGGCCCTCACCTGTGACGGGTGCAGTTCGCGCCAGATCCAGGTGCCTTGCACGATCCCGTATCTCTCAACACATGAACGGGACGTGATGTGAAGGGAGATAGCGTGCGAAACGAAGAGATCTAGGGCTATTACAAGGTATATGAATCGAGCACACTAATCTCGTAACCTATTGGGGCATTCCCATTACAGACTACGCATTGACTACGCGCAAATCATCAGCTGAAAGAACTTGTATTGCCTGCCAGTTTGAAGGTTTCACCACTTCTGCCTCCATCTAGTAGTTTGTGTTTGCTTACAAATACTCTATTCTTATCTGGGGCCTTAATTGAAAAAATCCTGTTTTTTATCCAAAATTTCTTTGAAACATCCTCAAAACTACTGGCATTAAATACCGAGTCGAAGATTATTTATTGGTAAATGATAAGTAACCTTGTTTCCGCTAGATCCGAGGCCTTTTCCAATGGCAATAAATTACTGCCTGATTCTTCATATTTTGATGGCGTTACAAATCCATCAAATGATTTATGGATTCATGCCGCGGCAGATCATATGGACTGAACAACACAGCTAAGGTAATAAAACTCTCTTATCTATCAAATAAACGATAAACGTCAATTTTTACATCGTGTTTTGCATGTGAATACTCTCTAAAAAAGGATCCATATAATTATTACATAGTGCAAAATCTTCTGCAGAAGAGATAGGGTAGCAATGAAGCGAAGGAAATGAGGCGGAGGGGAGGAGAAGAGTATTAATGAGGTGAAGATAAGCGGCGATGATATTTAATCAATTAAAAGGAGTGCAGACATGTCTGGTTTAACCAAGCCATCATAAGGGAAGTAAAAGAACCAATTTTCTATCTTATTTTGCTCGTATCCCATTTCGTCAAACTTGATTGTATTCAATGTGGCTTAAATACCTCAATGCTCCTAGAAGTGATTATTAGATAACAATTCGAATATTTCTGCGGTAGCGCTTGGTATACCGACAGCGCAGTGATTATGAGCACTGCTGAAGTTGTGGTAGGCGATAACGCTGACAGCGCTGCAAGGTTTCTCGCCTAGCCCTAATTCTTCAAAAATATCGGGCCATTTTACAGATAGTTTGTGATATGTTCGGAATTGTCACGAGCATGATTCGTTATTGCTG